CTTAGGTGGATCGAATTAGTGTAAGGACGCCTATAGTGTTGTCTGCATTGCTGACTGACGATCGAATACCAGGGAAACGGCGCAGCCAAATTCTAATGTGAGGTACGGTACTAGCCCCAAATGAGCTGAATGTACCGATTGCCGCTCTCCGATATTCTCGATCATCGGTGCTTAAACGTAGAAGAAATGTATGGAATTTGATTTTTCTCGATTTTGCATCACTCTCAGCTTTCAGACGCCAGTGAAAGGTAAAAAGAGAAGTACGTCAAACATCAAACCCCTCCGCCACAGCGATCACTCCGTCCGACTCTTTGCGTTAATTATTCAGCATTCGTCGTTCAGTGCCTGTCATGGCATCACTGACATTGACTTTTCTCCTTTGATCACCATGTGGCTCTACACCGAGGCTACATGGCCAAAGAACGATCTTTGAAACCTTGCTCCCCCTCCGTGTTTGCGGTCATTTTCCATTTACCCTTGCGGGAGCAGTTGTCGTTTCTGGATTTTCACTGAGGTGGGCTTACACCGACGGTGGATTAACTGCCACTCCCAGACACGAAGAAATTCCCGTGGTTTGATATCCATTTCACAAGGGCAATCCTAGTTCCCCTAACCAACCCAGAACATTGTCACCATTGAAATCAACCACATATAATCAGGATTCAGGCGCACCTGTCGAGAGACCACCCTCAAACCTCCTCCCCTACTCCCAGCTCGACCAATGTGCTACAAACTCGTCGTGATTGAACTCTTCACTGTGTGTGGACACAGAGTTATGCGTCAACCGTATGTTCAACTACTCCACCAATAAATTATATTGACCCTCCACCACCAGATTCATTGATTGCAATAGCCCGAACTGCGTTAGGAGTGAATATCATACGGTCCAAGCTCACGAGTGCAAGATGATGTGCAAACAACAGTGCGTAGCCAATCTCCTCTGGCGTTCGCCGAGCGCTGACACTTCACGTAGGCTTCAACCCGAGCAAACTGCGAATCGAAATCTTGAAGGACGCTGCGGCCAATGTAGTTAAATCGTGACGTAGGAACGAGTTAACGCGATTAATTCGGCTTGGCTCTATATGGAAGCACTTACACTATCTCCCCCCTCTCATGTACGGGATATAATTCTCTGTATATTTGGTACTGGACTATGCCGCTAGTAGCTCAAGTGGCTTTCTTTTTCTACATTATCGCTTGAGAATTATAGAGTTTGTTTCGCCTATCGAGATTTTTCGTCCGATGATCGTCGTAAGCCTTGTGTCGTTTGGTTTGCATAACGTTTTTGTGGCTTGCTCAAACCTGATTCGGAGGCAAAATTTTGAGCTCCCGGTGGAAAATACCGCGGCGTGTAACAGCTGGGCAGCCTGCACGCGGCGAATAAGGCTGTTGCCTCACATATACCCCTGTATGAACCTTAGGGTCGCCCTTAAAATGTTTGCAAGAGTCCACTTCGAAGAGTCTTGATCACATATTCAAAAACAGGCGGTCAGCACGCCGCGATGGTATTCGTTTGCCTTATGAACACACGGGTGGAGGATGATTTTGGTGCACAGAAGGGCCCTTGATCTTCCTCGTTCATTGAGGTGGCAAAAGCCGCATACGGTCGCACAAGGGCCGAGCATTCCTACATCATGGCATCACAAGATCAGCCGTACTCCTGGAAGCCAAAGTCATACGGCCAATAAAAATCTCCCTCCCCCGATATCATAGGGAACCCAAAATTATCCCCTAGATAAGCTGTCGTTTCTGTGCTATCTTCGCGTTCCACGGCGGATGCATTCCATGCGTTGAGAAGAGACCTCCACATCGCCGGGTCATCGGGGGCTGGCGCTCTGGTGCGGCTGAACTACGGGCGATGGTTCGAATCAATGTAAATTATACTTCATCCAGGGTTCCATCCAGACTCTTGGTACCAATCCCTGTTGGTTTATCGGGTCCCCAATCTGGTTTGATCCACCGTGGTTCAATTGGGTGCCCCCGAGCAACTCTTACCCGATTTGATTTGCAATTATGTGTGTAAACGTTCATGGCTGGCGGTTGATTCGACGGGCGAGTTAGCTGACAGTGGATGGGAATCAATACCACCCTCTTGCCATAAAGCGATGAACCAATAGGAGAATAGGTGTCGCGGAGCAGCCTCTAATGAGATCCGTAGCGTCCTCGATGCTTGCAAAAGGTTGATCTTTGATTGCCCAGTTCCCGACCGTTATCGCGTCCCGCTGCCCGCCTAAGGGCGAGTGAATCCAGGTTACCGTGCATGATGAAGGTAAAGATCAAAAACTCCATTCTACCTATTATTCCCTTCATTTTGAATGCACCCGCTATCGTGGTTCGAGGAGGGCCCTTTCAACAGGCTTGTCTGGTCCCGCGCATTCGATCAGCTAGATTCCCCGCCTCAAGTAAATGGGCCGCATTGGAGAACGGGTAGAATATAATTGAGAGAAATTGATTTTGGACCCCAGCAGTAGGGTGATTTTGGCGTCAAGATCTTGGTACAGAGTTAGTTCAGGTTCCCCATCTAAAATACCCCTGCCGTAACTCGAAAAGAATACAATGCCTCCAACTCAGTCAAAATGCATTTAATTCATCCAGTGTGGCCAATGGAAAAGATAGTGGGTTCCAAGGAGATCGAGTTCTATTCCGGCGTAGAGGCTGTAGCGTGGAGCACTCCTGTTAGGGGGAAATCGACCGCATGTATGCAATACCTGCGCAACTTTCGTTCCTGTGGTCGTGTGTGGTCAACGATACGCAGAAAAATTACCACTATACCTCCTGCTATGGTAGGAATATACGGCCTACCATTTAGACCGCTGTTGAATCGTGTGCGCCCTCCGCCATCTCGATTTCGGCAGCAGGCAAAAGTACCGGGCCTGGCGGGTTGGTCTGCATATCGTCCTATGCACCACCATTTCTGGTATGGAGAAATGTTCCACTACACGTAGTGCGACTTCGATCTGGGCAATACAAGAGCGAGAACGCTTGGTACGAGGAAATGAATCTGCGTCAGTCGTCGCAAGCTAGGGTGGCTGTAGTTCCTGGACCTGGCATTGAAACGGAGTGACTAGGCATCCATCGGTCCTTCAAGATCTCTTCTCTGCAATCTTTCCCGTTAGCAGAGCTGGGTAGAGTCGAGCATACCAAGCAGCAAACCGTGAGTGTTTCGAGAGCAGCGGAGGCCAAGTTGAGACCGCGCATGTGGCTTGTGTCAGATCTGTCATCAACCACCAGATTTCGATTCAATGACGAAAACCTGCGAGGGGAGCTACTGGACCCCATTTGGAAACATAAACCCTAGTTTTACCGCTCGACTCACATACAGGAGACAAAGGGGTCAGGTTCTCTCCATTCTCCTATTCTTACGACTTTGTAACCGTGGTTCTATTGGGATTTGAGAACTGACAGTATCATCCAGCGCCCTAGAATGCAGCAGGACATGAACGAGCAGTGACCTGCCGAATTTGGCGACTCGTGGCTTGATCTCAGGAAAGCAAGGCGCTCAAGCTCTGGATTTCGAGATGTGACAATCAGGTTGGCCCACAGGGTGTTTAAAGAATCCGAGGCATCGATGATTTCGGCATATGCAAACCCGCTCACCTCCCTGAACACGCATATGTATTCATTCAGATGCCATGTTTGTATCGGAGAACGTCGTTCCGCAAGGGCCTGGACCTCTGAAAGCAAACATTACATACATTTGAAAATGAGTTCTCATAACAGGGTACGGTTGGAGATATGATATAATGGCTCTTTAAATTAGACCGGAGACATCTCAATACGTACAACTCTCTCCAGATGAGGAAATGTTATTTATGGATCAATTAATGGGAGATTCAACAGGGGAAAGCTCTTCCTCACTATCAGATAACGGGGGAGCGGCCGCTAGCCCTGGTAGTCCGCCTGGGAAGGCACTTGCACCACCTCCACCAGTATCACCTATATTTCCACCGCCTATAGGTCCACCACCCGAGAACATTGCCTTGAAAGCCATTCCATCCTTTCGCTGGCGAATTCTCTCTACTTCTTCTGCACCTCCTGTCCTTTTGAGTTTCTTCCCTGCGACAAATCCGTGCAACTCGGCCTCAAACTCGTCCGATCTCGAAGACAGCTCCCTTTGTCTGGCCTTTTCATTGAGCTCGATAGCCTTTAAACGCTTGTCGGACTCCACTCG